ACAGTGGGTGGTGACTCAGCCTTCGTACACCTACAGTGAATAGTCCTCTAACCGACCTGCCTCTCCTGACACAGCGCCACTTCTCTCTTGTCCACCGTTCCTCCAACCTGCCTTCTCCCCACACAGGGCCTTTATCTTTGCTGTTGCTCCTGCACCAAGTGGGTAATAGTGAACCCCCAACGACAGAACTCACAATGAGCTAATAATGCTTTCTCGGTCTTCTCGATGCCAACCTTGCACCTGGAGGAAGCTATACAGCATGTCTGCCACCAGATATCATAGTTTGAATATCATACAGCCTCCCCCACAAGACTCATGTGCTAAATACTTAGGTAGCCAGTCAGCTAGTGGTGATGTTGTGGGAGGCTATAAAACTCTAAGATGGAGCCGGGCGGCAGTGGCACATGCCTTTAATCCCAGTACTCAGGAGGCAGAGCCAGGCTGATCTCTGTGAGTTCGAGGCCAGCCTGGTCTACAGAGTGAGATCCAGGACAGGCACCAAAACTATACAGAGAAACCCTGTCTCGAAAAACAAAAAAAAAAACCCCACCCTCTAAGGTGGAACCTGTAAGGATTATGTCCTTAATTACGTCACTACCCTGCAATGGCGTCCCAGCCTAAAAAGCGGGCTTGCTCTCTGTGTGCTCTCTTTCCATATTGCCTCTCCATACTCTCCCCCCCTCCGCGGTCTCTCTCTCTCTCTCTCTCTCTCTCTCTCTCTCTCTCTCTCTCTCTCAAGTTCTAGAAAGGTAACCATGGCTCGTGACTCTTCCGTCACCAACACATCCAGCACTCTCTTCCATAGGCATGACCGATATGGGTGGCAGCCAGCCACGAGCACCACTGCTTAACCAACAGAACCTAGCTGGAGAAGGTACATTATGGCCCTATTTTGGTTCTGGTTAAAATGCTACCAGAGTTGAGGTCAAGGCCTCTTGAAAATTGCTAGAGTCCAGCCCTAATGATCTCTTTCCCAGGAGTCCAAAAGAGACACTACTAACGGCAGTGGGGTAACATGCAGGAAAATAATCTAAGTACACCGGGTTCTTTTGTCCGTCCACTTTATTCCTCTAAGACAAACTTCTGTCTACACAGCTTTAGTTTTGTTCTCACACTCAGCTCCTCTCTGTCCCTTTTCCTCCTGTCCTCTCATAGCCCTAAGTTCTTCTGCTTTCAATCTCGTCTTCGTCCTCAGTTCCTCCATCCATGCTCATCCCTTCCTTTCCTACTCTCCTGACCTGACCTGATCCACCTACCATCTGCAAAAATTCTGCCTCCTTCTTTCTTCTCTGGCCATTCCGCCATGCTACTCAATCTTCCTTCACCTGGTATGCAAAAAACCCTTTTGTTCTGAGTCAATTGCTCTGGAATGCCATTTGGCCTGTGAGGGGAAGGAGGGTCTGAGCTTCATTTGCACAAGAAACAAAGCTATGCATCTACATATCCACCTGTCTCCTTGATCTAGGAGACAGGTGTTGACTCTGTAAGGGTATTACCTTAGTTCAGATCAGCAGTGCATCTGAGAAGCTTATTCTGTTTGCTGTTATGGCCTAGGAGTTATGAGCACACGAGAAATTGATAGCAGGAAACAGCTGATACATTAAAAGCCAAATAACATAAAATACTCCTTGAGATCTGGCTTCCTTCAGAAGGATTCCTTGATCCATCCAGGTATAGCTTTACCATAAACAGCTGAATCTTGTTGCATATTCTTGCAGCCTGCAAAAATAACCTGTTCCCACAAGGAGCCAAGTTCAACCACCCATCCTTGATATATCAATTAAAACGAATTAATAGTGCAAATCAGAAAAGGGAAATTTATTTAAGGTAGCCACACTGGAATGGGTGGCAAAAATGTCCAGTGACCTCTCCTCATGTCCTTCATCAGGGTCCTAAAGTGAGGTTAAGGTTTGAGGAGAATGTGAGAGTTGTGCATAGCTAAACAGTTCCCAGTCAAGGAGTGGCCCTGCCCAACACTGTCTGGACTCTCCAGCAAGGCAGGCTGGTAAGTTCTCAGCATTGTGTAAAAATCTCTTGCTGGGAGACAAGTTCCTCCTATGGATGGCACCAGGCTTTCTTTTTTCCCAGCATTCGATTCCTGAGGAATTCCAGTTTCTTGGAGTCTATTGTTTCAATAGTCTGATAGAAAACTGAAGGACACGAGTGTCTGTCCCAAAGTAACCTCACTCCTGCCAGGCCAGTTAGAAAAGCTCTCCAGTTGGTAGAGATGTGAGGAGTCTCAGCTACTCCACCATGCTTCCCCACCATGCTGAACCCTGAGCTAAAATAAATTCTCTTCTCTTCGATGCTTCCTTCAGGCACTTTATCACAGTAACAAAAAAGCAACAGGTGTACCAGGGATCAGCGGGTGCCAGGAAGACATCGCCTAACCAGCCCCAACACGAAGTTTTCCCATAGCCCACCCACTTTCACACTGACAGCCCCACTCCACCCACCTTCATTCTGATAACCCTTTTTTTCCCTAGCTTATGGACTCTTCATTCATTGACTAAATTAACACAGCCCTGTCCTGGGAGAATTTAAAAATATGTTTCCTCAAAGCTTGATTATCACTTGTCAATAAAAAGTTCTTGACACAGGCAGGATACCGCTTGTGCCTTCAGGAACTTGGTATCCACTGAAAGACACCTGCGATGGCTATTCTTGGTTTTCAACTTGACTACATCTGGAACTAACCAAAACCCAAGTGGCTAGGTACATCAAAGGGATTTTTCTTAATTAAATCATCTAAAATGTAAAGACCACCTTTAATCCAGATCATTTGAGGTGGAAGACCCACCTTTAATCTAGGCCACACCTCTGGTGGCAGCCCATAAAGACATGGTAAAAGGAACCTCTTGCTCTTTGCCTGCTTGCTCTCACTCTCACTGCCAAGTCCATTCCTTCACTGGCTTTAGAGCCTTCTTCAGGATTCCAGTGTCTACGGAAGACCAGCTGAGACATCTAGCCTCATGGACTGAACAACTACTGGATTACTGGACTTCCTACTGGTAGACAGGTTTTGTTGTCTAGCTAGCTGGACCACAACCTGTAAGCCACTCCAGTAAGTCCCACTTAGACAGACAGACAGATGATGGATTCATTCTATCAGGTCTGTTCCTCTAGAAAACTCTGACTAATAAAACACCCATACAGGTTACCACACCCTGGCAGGTGGGAACTGTTTCCACCACAGCTCCATGGCCCCAATATTCAGGCCCTGTCACCACACAACGTTGTTCATGACCCACTGAGAAAAGCATTTAGACAGAGCTCTGCTGGCCCTGGTTTCTGATCCTTCCTTATCAGCCTGTCTTGTCATACTGCAGCTTGCCTTCCCCTAAACTCACCTGAGTTAGAACTCAAGTTGTTTGTACCATCACTGGTCTTAACTTACTTAGGAACCAAATTTAAAAAGCACAAAGAAAATGGTGGCCTGGAGCTAGAGGTGTGGCTCAGTGGCCGAGCCATGCTGCTCTCCTAACTTCCATGCTATAGCATGCATACCTAACCCCCCCATACACACACATGCACACACATGTACAAATAAACATAAAAAATTAAAGGACTCTTGATTAGTGTTATACACACAGAGACACAAACACAGCCATACACACATGTACATACAAATAAACATAAAAATTAACTGACTCTTGATAAATGTTACATACACACATTGCACACACAAATAAACACAAAAAAATTAAACAAGTCTTGATAAATGTTACACACACAGACACACACGCACATACAAATAAACATTAAAAAAAATCAAACAACTCAATGTTATTATTACCTAGGTTACTTACAAGATGGATATTCTAATATTAAACCATCATTGCTAACTTTTCTTTGAAGTCAAGGATTGACCCTAGAGCCTGGCATATACTATGTATACACTCTCTCACAGGGCTATACCCAACTTTTATAACTGTGAAACAGGGTTTCACTAAGTTGCCCAGACTGACTTTGGACTTGGTCCCTCCTGCCTGGACCTCCTGAGTCACTAGGACTCTAGGTGCGCGCTTTTGTGAGCACTGTTCTAAGATGCGACTGGATTCCACCGGTAACAGCTCTCTAGAAAGCATCTGTATGTGTGCTTAAGTGGCACACAGGCATGCTTTCCTTTGTATGCTATCCTTGTCAGGCTTCTATCAGGGTGACACACACTTGAACCAAGACACAGGTAAGAGCAAACTCTTCAAGGTAACAGCTAGCAAAGGCTCTCTGTGGAGTCCTCAGACAGCCGGCCACCTCCTTAGAAGCCATTCTTCTTACTACGTTCTCATCTTTCTTCAACTGTCTCCGCTCCCTTCTGGCAGTCAGCTCATCTTCCACTAAATATGAACGACATCTGACAACATTTACCAGCACGAGGCTGTATGTGGATTTGCTCCTCTCTGAATCTTGTACATCTGAGATTAGAGTCTTTTCTTGTGTGTGTATACAAATGTGTGCTAATTTTGTGTCCGTGTGGAAGTCCGAGGACAACCTTGGATGACACCTTCAGAAATGACATACACCTCTTGAGACAGGTTCTCTCATTGGCCTGGAGCTTATCAATTAGGCTAGCCTGGTCCTCTTGTCCCTGCCTCTACAGTACTCAGATTATAAGAGTGAGTCACCACACCCAGCTTTTTTTTTTAAACATGAGTTCCAGGATGCAGCCCTGGGTCTTCAGGCTCGCACAGCACTAACTGGACCTTCTCTGCAGCCCTGAGGTCTTTCACTTTTAGTGTTACATACTCACACTTCTGCTCCTATTTTCTTGCCACAGGTGCCAAGTATTTCTAGCTAAGTAATGTTTTTCAGAGAACCGACTTTCCCTTCTCCATCCAGTGCTCTGAGTTTATCTTTTTGTGTTTCATCTTTCTGTATCTTGTGCTGGCTGGTTGCATTGGCAGGCAGGCCCTCAGCTCAATCATACCAGAGTAGCCAGCATTAGGGACAACCACAGCATCAAGAATTGGGGACATGGGACCCACCTGGGCCAACCTTACCTCAATGAGCTTCCTCTCATAGGAGCTCGCCAGCTCCTCAGCAACTTCGCCAGGCTTCTGTTCAGGGACTGTAACTTCTCCATCAATGTTCCAAAGACTGGGTACAACTTTAAGAAAAGAAAGACACTCAGGTAAGTGTCTTAACATGCATCAAGAATTACTCTCTCATTTTAATGCATGTGTTTATTTACTATTTATGAACATGTGTGTGTGTGTGTGTGTGTGTGTGTGTGTGTGTGTGTGTGTGCGCAATTTCTCCAGTGAGAAAGCTCTTTATAAGGAAAAAAATCACAATTAGTAATTACTTCATCACTACACCCTTACACAGTACAACAAAGCAAAGGATAGTAAACAGTCTCCTGAAGGTATAAAGGTTACTGGAGTTCTACACAGGAGTTTGAAGAGTAGCCTCATCAGCCCTGAAAGCCTTGGGGGAAAGTAGAAACATCTCAGCAGTATACAAGCTCATGTATACATCTTTTGTATTGGCCAAACTTATTCTGGGAGGTGGTACCTGTCTACTGTTTGCTATGGAACAGTGCTGGGTATTAGGTCCCAGGTTGTGGTGGTTGAATGAGAATGGCCCCCACAGGCTCATATGTTTGAATACTTGGTCCCCTGTTGCTATGACTGTTTGGGAAGGATTAAAAGGTGTGGCCTCTTTCAGGAGGTGTGTCATTGGGGATGGGCTTTGAGGTTTCAAAAGGCTCAAGCCATTCCCAGTGTGCTCTCTGCCTCCTGACTACAGATCCAGGTGTGATCTGCTCTGCTCTGCCATCATGGACTCTTATCTCTCTGAAACCATAAACCCAATTAAATGCTGTAAGTCAGGGTGTTTTAGCACAGCAATAGAAAAGCAACTAATAGAGAAGCAGAAACCAGAACCATATGTAAAGGCTCCTTAGAGCAGTGGTTCTCAACCTTTCTAATGTTGCGACCCTTTAACAAAGATCCTCATGTTGTGGTGACCCCCCCATCATAACATTAACATTATTTTGTTGTTACTTCATAACTGTAATTGCTACTGTTATAAACTATAATATAAATATCTAATAATCAGGATATCTGATATGCAACCTCTATGAAAGGTTGAGAACCAATGCCTTAGAAGGACATCAAACAGTCTTGGGAAAGTCTCTGAAATCATTGCATCAAATCACTGCAAGAGCATGCAATGGGATACTGGCCCCCAGATCATGATACACAAGGCATGGTCACCCATGTGTGCCTATTTTATACTGAAGACCAAATAAGTAAAAACTGAGAATGAGCCAGGAGCTCCAAAGACACTAAGAGAACAAGACCAAACTAGAGATGCAGCACTGGACGAAGAAAAAGCCCAGTGACACGCTTTACAAACGGAGACCAGGCTCTGCTCCAGCAGATGCTAAGAAGCACAAGCCCTGAATGCCTATTAATCATAATGGGATTACACTAGGTCAAAAGAAAGGCCTAAGGCAGCCCCAGATGGCAGGGAGTGGCCTCTAGGACTGCAGTGCAAGCACTGGGACCCTTCAAGCTTCACATAACCTACTGGCTACTGGAGAGCCAGTCTCCAGCAGTGCAAGGTATGCAAAAATAATCTACAAATGCAGCCAGGGATAGACTTTTCTACCTGAGGGGTAAATAAGGAAACACACTTTCTGATGGTAACTTTCTCTTTACTTCATCTTAAAACATCCTCTCTCTGAAAATCTCTGTCTCCACACAGCCACATTTTCCACACATTTCTTCTACACAGCAATACATCTTCACGTGACCCATGGCTGAGTTTCAGGCAGCCCAATAACCAAGTGGCCATCAACCATAGCTGGGTGGCCTATGGGAGAAACAAGGCCTTTGGTGACAGTGAAACATCCTGCGTTCTGAAACTTTAAGCTGATTTTAACGACTGCAGGGAGTGACCAGTAACACCTAACACTTGAGGTTCTTGAAGAAAACTTAAAGATTTCAGTAAAATATGATTCAAGGAGCATGTTAAATTCATTTCCTTTAAAATCCCATTAAAATATGAATTGTTTTTGTTTGAAAGAAAATAGAAAGTTGTAGAGGAAATGAAACAACAAAAATTATAGTAGCTGAGAATCAGACAAGTAAAGGAGTTAGTAGATTTCAGCCCTGGATACAAGTAACTAACTTGAACAGAATGACTCATGAAAGATTGCACACTGCCGGCGAGACACACACTGGCCTGAGAGGCAAACAGGAATGAAATCTGCCAAGGGCAAGAAGTCCTGGGAGAGCTGCAGTCAGAACACTGGTCTGCTCTATGGAGAAGCTGACTGTAGAGCTGGGCGGAGTTGAAAGTTAGGATGCCTTACTGAAAACAGGGAGGTAAAGTCAATCCACAAGAACCTTGTGAGATGTCCCAGTCTCCTCTCCTCGACTCTACTTGCTCCCTGAACAGCAGAGACCTGTCACACATCTCCCAAGCAACACAGAACAGGTCCTCCTGGGAATCCAAAAAGCTCCAGAGAAAAACCTGAGGAGACTCTGGTGGGGCTGTCACTAGGAACGGTACAGCCAGGGAGCCCTGCCAAAAAGCAAAACCTAAATAAATATGCACAAGGCTTCTACCAGCTTTCTAGTATCCTGCCCAAGGAGACAGCCAGACATCGACTTGCCTTGAAACAAGCACCTAGGACAAAGAAACGTGTGACTTGTAGAGAAAAAAAGCCTCGCTCCAGGAACTTCCCAGCCAAATAACCAACATCCTCAGGGACAAAGAGAAGACTCACATGAAACAAGAAGAGAGCGATGTCCACAAAAGGCAAAACAGTTCTTTTCAAAGGAGGCCATGATAGCAGGAGAGGAACACTGCCCACAAGGGGAAGGGGTGGGAATGTTTCCAAAAACAGAGGCAGAGACCCCAAGATGAAAATGGAAGCACAGAACTGCTAAGAAGAAAGAAAGGAGAAGCTAACAGAAAATAGGAATTCAAAGGCCTAATTCAGCAATTTATCAGATACAGCTATCAAAACTGAAGAGCGAAGGGCACCCACCACAATGGAGGGGAAGAGAACACCTCGGGACCAGGAAGAACAGGAAAAGGGGGCAGGCCTCTGGAGAGGACAGAGGGTTTCCAGGACAGGAAACTAGAAACTGAAAAGGCTTCATGAAAGCCACATGGCAGACTGGCAAACAGTGCAGGACACCTTCAACACGCTCAGGGATATCAGCTCTGTCCTGGAGTGTACACTGTTGGGATTCTGCCGCTCCTCCAGCTGCATGACTGCACATGTGCAGTTCAGTAGCTAAGTAAGGGGTCTTACGTCATCAGTGCACTGCATGATGGGATAAATGCACACACATGGTCACACAATCAGCTCAGGCTTGGGGTAGCTCCATAAGCCCACCTGTGCATGTGCACGGACTCCTTAAAAAGCCAGACACAGACTCCTCCTCTCTCTTCTCTCTGCTCTCTCCTCCCTCCACTCTCTCTCTCTCCCTCTTTCTGCACGTGTGTCTCCCTGAGTCCTGGTCACTCTCTTCTGTCCCTCCTCCTCCTCCTAATAAAGCTCTGATACTGGGTTTTGTCATGGCTCATGACCTTTCTCTCACGGTAACCAGTGCCGAGTATTATTTAAATCCAACACATACCAAGCAAACCATATGAGACACACAACTCACAAAGACTTACTCCCACTTAAGGAAGGAAAATCTAGGAAGAATAAAACAGACAAGCTAAGATACAAGGAATCTAAAACAAAAGTGAGTCAGAGAACCACTTATAAAAATCCAAACAACAGAAACTATCCATGAATACCGAGCAATGAACAGATAAGCAGAGCAGCTCTCCAGATGGAGGAATATTACTCAGCCAAGAAAAAGTAGAGGCTAGTTCATGCTGTTTTGGAAACTTTTGAGGTCCTGCCTCTTAGTTTCCTTCCCAGGGGCCCAGAAGAGACGCTACTAATGGTGGGAATACTCTGCGGGAAATGAATCTAAGTACACCATGCTCTTATGTCTGTCCACTTTATTCCTCTAAGACAAAATTCTATCTACACAGCTTCAGTTCTGTCCTCACACTCAGCTCCTCTCTGTCCCTTCTCTTCCTGTCCTCTCATAGTCTTGGTTCTAACTAAGCTCTTTTGCTCTCAACCTCATCTTCATCCTCCGATCCTCCATCCACTACGTTCTTTTCTCTCTTACCTTCCTCCGGTCAACTCAATTCACCTACAACCTGCAAAAACTCAGTCATTGATCCACGGGTCTTCCCCCAGACTCCAAAGTGTATTTAGGAGGAATCAGCAATATTCCATGCTGGGCAAAGGAGACATGGAAATAATTTTTTTCAAGTTGGACTCCATGCTGGTTTTTTTGTTTGTCTGTTGTGTGTTTGGTTTCTGGTTTCTGGTGCTTTTTTAAGAGAGAGAAAGAACATAAGTTGGGTGGGTAGGGAGGTGGGGGAGGATCTGAGAAGTTAGGGAAAGGGAAAGAATACGATCACAATATATTGTATGAAATTCTCAAAAAATAAAAAATTGTTTTGTTTAGCATGCGTATGCACATGTGGGCGCAGGCATGCAAGTGGGAGTGATGCACATGTATGCACGCACATGTACACAGACATGCTCTTACCAGTGGTGTAAGAGGACAATTTGGGAGAGTCAGTTCTCTCTATTATCACCACAAGGGTCCTGAGTATTGAACTCAGATCACCAGGCTTGGCAGCAGGCATTTTCTCCCATGAAGCTATCTCGCTGGTCCAGAAATGGACTTTTAGACCTTCAAGGCCAGGGGCAGACTCTAAACAGCCATGAGGATTTATCATAGACTCTAGTCAGGTTACCTTCTCCTGCTGGTCTGGTTTACCTCCTGCAGCTAAGCAAGCATGTCAGACACTTTACTTTTTTGTGCAAAATAACATCAAAACTGAGTCCCAGTATGCCACACTTTCCTTATCAGCCCACAGCCACTAATGTGGCACCTGAAACTAATCAACAACAGAGTCCTATAGACATCAAAATTCCACTGAAGGTAAGAAGACCCCACACAGCAACCTTCACAGAACAGACAACTGTGCCCGATGCATCTCTAAAGCATGAGGACTCATGTGTGCACAGTGAGGGAAGCGATGATTGGGTTAGATACCACTTACCCCCCA